AATTGCCAAGTTTACTTCTCAGTTTAAAGTTCATTCCTTTAGCATACCTTTTTTTTTCCTGAAAATGAAAAGAATAATTTTGAATATTTTTCTGTTGTGATGGAGAGTTCTTTGTTACTTTGAGATTTCAGAAGTTGGGAAGCATTTAGTGAATGATCATTCCATAGTGTTGATATTTAATAGACTTGGGAATATAGCCTCTATTTTAAATATTTCTCATATAGTTACTTGTATGAAATTAGATTCTGCAAAGAGAAGAATGCTTTGAAAGATATAAAAGATGGTTTTTAACCCTGCTTTGATTTCCAAATAATTGTAATTTTTTTCAGAAGTTACTTTCTGACATGTTAATATATACTTTGTTATTAATGAAAATGAGATTAATTAGTTAATTACACACAGATTAGTTACTAAAATTATGAATGTTCTTCTCATCTTCTGAAATTTAAAAAAATCACAAAATGAATTGATTTTTTAATTTCTTTTTATTTCATGGATTATAGCTGCGTAATAACCAAAAGCAAAGTTCAGGAAAGGTTGGATAATTTACCAATTATAACCAGTCTCTGCTTTTATAAAAGAGTGTTTACTGCTTAGGTAAATTAGGAAATTTCCAATGTTGAATAACAGTGACAGCCTTAACATAAATAATTATCAGGGAGATAAATACGTAAGTTGTTCTTCAGCTTTGGTACAAAGTTCAGTATTCTGTCCAGGAGTGCTAGGGGACTCTTAGCCAGTTCAGTCTTGAAAGAAAAAAATGTGATATGAGTTCTTCTCAGCCCTACTCTCTTGCTTTGCCTGATTCAAACTGGCCTGTAAGGCCCTCATTTATCTATCTCTTTTATTTCCTGCCAACTTCATCAATAAAAATGTGGATTTCTTCTATTATAAATGTCTAAAAAGTTAAAAATATTTTATTAATTGAATATGAGGGCTGGGCGCCGTGGCTCACACATGTAATCCTAGCACTCTGGGAGACCCAGGCGGCAGGATCGCTCAAGGTCAGGAGTTGGAGACCAGGCTGAGCAAGAGCGAGACCCCGTCTCTACTAAAAAAATAGAAAGAAATTAATTAGCCAACTAAAAATATATGGAAAAAATTAGCAGGGTATTGTGGTGCATGCCTGTAGTCCCCAGCTGCTCCGGAGGCTGAGGCCGAAGTATTGCTTGAGCTCAGGAAGTTTGAGGTTGCTGTGAGCTAGGCTGATGCCACGGCACTCTAGCCTGGGCAACAGAGTGAGACTCTGTCTCAAAAAATAATAATAATTCAGAGGGATAAGTCAACATTACCTGGGCTATTCAAGAATGCCTTTTCAATAAGAAGAGTCTAAAAACAAACATGTATTAAGCCAAGATTTTAGAGTGGAATTATTATGGAGGGAGAAGAAATTTCAGAAAGGAGACCCATTGTAAGCAAGGTAATAGGGAAAGAACAGATTTTTATTCATGTAAGAAATAAGAAGGAATTAATTGCAGAATAATTTGGGGAATGATTAAAAAATTGACCAAGTCATCTATATATTATGTGATACCATTTATATGAAATCTCTGCAATAGAGAAATTGATAAAGACAGAAAATAGATGAGTGGTTGCCAAGGGCTGGAGGGATTGGGAGAAAATGGGGAATGACTGTTAATGGATATGGGAAGTTTTTTTGGATTGATGAAATGTTCTAAAATTCATTGTAGTGATGGTTACACAATTCTGTAACAAAAACTATGGAATAGTGTACTTTAAATGGGTGAATTATATGATATACGAATTACATCTCAAGCAATTTTTTTTAAAAGTTGGCCAGATGAATTGGAGTCATCAGATAGAGAATATTAAATCTAGACCTAAGTGTTTATTTATTTATTTATTTATTTGAGACAGAGTCTCGCTTTGTTGCCCAGGCTAGCGTGAGTGCCATGGCATCAGCCTAGCTCACAGCAACTTGAATCTCCTGGGCTCAAGCAATCCTCCTGCCTCAGCCTCTCAAGTAGCTGCGACTACAGCCATGCGCCACCATGCCCGGCTAAATTTTTCTATATATATTAGTTGGCCAATTAATTTCTTTCTATTTATAGTAGAGACAGAGTCTCGCTCTTGCTCAGGCTAGTTTCGAACTCCTGACCTCGAGCAATCCGCCCGCTTCCTCGGCCTCCCAGAGTGCTAGGATTACAGGTGTGAGCCACCACGCCTGGCCTAGACCTAAGTGTTTAAATTTGTTCTTATGGGCAAGAAAAAGCCATTATAGGTTATGAGTATGGAATGGACTTTCTGTGGTTTCCCTTTTTTATCCTCTTTTTCTCTTTATTTGAAATTTTACTTATAAAAATATATATAATTAAAATAATATAAAAGCATGTTAAATAGAAAATATCTCTCCCCCCCTTTTTTAAACATAAATGAGATCATATAATCCAACTAGTTTCGTTAACTTTTTCATACAGCATTGTTTCACAGATATGTATGTGAAGACTGGTTACTGCAGGGAGAAATAATAGTAACTCACATCATTGTAAAGGTTAACTGAGTTGATACATGTAAATACTGAGAATGATTAGTCCTAGACACATGGCATTCAATAAGCATTAGATTGTTTTACTATTTTTTTGTTTGTTTTGAGACTGAGTCTCACTCGGTTACCTGGGCTAGAGTGCCATAGTTCACAGCAACCTCAAACTCCTGGGCTTAAGCAATCCTTCTGCCTCAGCCTCCGGAGTAGCTGGAACTACATGCCTGGCTAATTTTTTTTTTTCTACATATATTTTTAGTTGGCCAATTAATTTCTATTTATCGTAGAGACAGGGTCTTGCTCTTGCTCATTGGTTTCGAACTTCTGACCTTGAGTGATCCTCCCACCTCGGCCTCCCAGAGTGCTAGGATTACAGGCGTGAGCCACCATGCCTGACCAGATTGTTTTAGTATTATTAGAGCTAAGTGTAGGCTGAGGGGATACAGCTTTGGTTAGTGGTTGTTTTAGTAGTTCTTTTGCTTTGGAACCTAAGGTAAAAGCAAGAGTAATTTTCATTTCATAAAGGAAACATTCACCTAGTCATCACTGTGCTAGTAGTCAGGCAGTCTAATAGGTACTAATATGAAGAACTAACACACAACACTTCATTCATAACAGGTTCTTAATCTGGGTTCTTTGAGAGGATTTAAGACAATCTGAGACTCTTGAATTTTTATGTCAGAAGTTTGAATATGCATGCAATTTAGTGAACAGAATGAAACCATAGCTTTCAAAAGATTCCTGCAGTCTTTAATCCTTAGGAACCATATGCTTTATCAAATTTATTCTCATAACAGCCCTAAGAGGTAGATAATAGTAGGATTTTTGGAGATTACAAAGTTGGTCCTCAGGGAGCCAGTGTGTATACCCAGCTCACTGTAAATGTAAGATAGAGAGTGAAAAATCTTGCCAGAAAGGTATTATGCCTTGGGAATTCAGAAGGGGAAATTTATTCTAGATCTTGAAATTGGGGAAGGCTTTTTGTTCTTAAACTCTTATTATGTTTTTTTTTTGTTGTATATATTTTTAGTTGGCCAATTAATTTCTTTCTATTTTTAGTAGAGACGGGGTCTCACTCTTGCTCAGGCTGATTTCGAACTCCTGAACTTGAGCAATCCGCCCACCTCAGCCTCCCAGAGTGTTAGGATTACAGGAGTGACCCACCACACCTGGCCTTAAACTCTATTATGTTAAAACTTATAGGTCATTTAGCAAATATTTATCAAATGCCCACTATACTTTACTTATTATTCTAGGCCTTCAATATATAATATTAAACAAACAAACAAACAAAAATCTATGTTCTCATGGAGCTTACATTTGTGGAGGTGGTCATTAATCTTCGATTTTATTTCTCTTTTTAAACAGCAACTAACCCGCTTGTGAATGTCCCTAATAGTAAGGCTCCACTCCATGCATTCCAGGAGGTTCCTTCAGCCAGGGCTATGGTCCAAGCTCTAGAATTACCCATCACCCACACCAGCCATCAGGCCTCTTTTCTATTTGGAGACTTGGGACAGAAGGTCTCCAGTTAGAGAGGAAGTTGGGACTAAGAGTTATGCTCAGACACAGCTTCCTTTGTTAGTCTTAGGACATGTGGGGATTTCATGGCATGCTCAGACAGACTGTGGGAAGGCCTGGAGAGGGGTTTCTGAACTCTTCTCCAGCCTCACTCATTCCTGGGCAAACCCCACAGCACCCCTTCCTCTTGCTGGGCTCAGTGCATTGCCTTTAGAAGATGGGCATCTGGCCGCTAGCATTCCTCGGTGTGAACTAGTCAGCTTCAGGAAAGCACGCTCCTCTTACCCTATTCTCCTGGCCTCGGCAGGGTGGGGAATCAGGAAGAGAAGTCACACACAGATAGATTGACCCTTCTCCCTATCTTATATATTGAAATTTCAGAGTAGCTTTGATTATATGCCTAATAATGCCTTCCACATAATAATGTTCAATAAATATTTGATTGAATGAGTAAAAAAATGAACAAAAAAATTGGAAGAGATTTTAAGGGGTGATGATGTTAATTTTCAGGCATGACCACATTTACTATTATTTCTGTTCGAAACCAGCCTGAGCAAGAGTGAGACACCATCTCTACTATAAATAGAAATTAATTGGCCAACTAATATACATAGAAAACATTAGCCGGGCATGGTGGCCCATGCCTGTAGTCCCAGCTACTCAGGAGGCTGAGACAGGAGGATTGCTTGAGCCCAGGAGTCTGAGGTTGCTGTGATTTAGGCTGACGCCACGGCACTTATTCTAGCCTGGGCGAGACTGTCTCAGAAAAAACCCAAAAAACTATTATTATTTCTTCCAAATTTTTGCAATAGAATAAAAATTTGAAGCCTGGGTTATCTCCTTATTCCCCATGTGCTGTGAGGAGATTTGTCATAAATTAAAGAATCAAACTTGGGTGTGTCCATCTAATATTAATCTACCTTAAGTATTTTGGCACTGTAGAAATAAAAGTACCACTTTTATTTGTCATTTCTAGGGGAGGTGACTCCAGGACTATCTCAGGTAGAATATGCACTTCGCAGACACAAACTGATGTCTCTGATCCACAAGGAATCACAAGGATACAGTGGGACCGACCAGACAGTAGTTGTGCTCTCCAACCCAACATACTACATGAGCAACGATATCCCCTATACTTTCCACCAAGACAACAATTTCCTATACCTGTGTGGATTCCAAGAGCCTGATAGCATTCTGGTCCTTCAAAGCCTCCCTGGCAAGGAACTACCATCGCACAAAGCCATGCTTTTTGTGCCCCGGAGAGACCCCAGTCGAGAACTTTGGGATGGCCCACGATCTGGCACTGATGGCGCAATAGCTCTAACTGGAGTAGATGAAGCCTATACACTAGAAGAATTTCAACATCTTGTACCCAAACTGAAAGGTAAGAAATGGGACCAGATGACAAATCATGAACCAGATTGGGATTAAGACCTTCTTTGCCTATTTAGATAGAATTCTTGATTTCCTAAAGTGATTATCATATGGCTACATTTCCCTAAGCACTATTTATTCATTTCTTTATTTTGAGACAGAGTCTGGTTCTGTTGCCCGGGCTAGAGTGTCGTGGTGTCATCCTAGCTCACGGCAACCTTAAACTCCTAGGCTCAAGCAATCCTTCTGCCTCGGCCTCCCAAGTAGCTAAAACTACAGGCATGCACCACCATGCCCAGCTAATTTCTTCTATATTTAGTTGTCCAGCTAATTTTTCCATTTTTTGGTAGAGACGGAATCTCGCTCGCTCTTGATCAGGCTGGTCTGCAACTCCCGACCTCAAGCCATCCTCCCACCTCGGCTTCCTAGAGTGCTCGGATTACAGGCGAGAGCCACCACGCCAGAGCCTGAGCTACTTTAAAGATTTCATTCGTTCATTTGCTAAATCTTTACTGGATTATTCATTAACAGAGACTGTTAACTACTCTCACTTGAAATCTCAAAGAAAGAATTTCCTTTAAGGGAAAAGATAAGCTGGGCACAGTGGCACTTGCCTGTAGTCCCAGCTACTTGGGAGGCCAAGGCGGGAGGATCACCTGAGGTTGAGAATTCTAGACCAACCTGCTAAACATAGCAAGTCCCCATCTACAAAAAATAAAAATCTAAAAAAAAAAATTTAAAAATAAAGGAAAAGATGAGCATGGGGCTCAACTCAAGATTACTGACCAGCTTATTGACCTTTGACCACTGCTGCTTATCTTAATACTTTTGCCAACTCTTCAGAAAGTGGCATTATTCTTAGTAATCTGAGCATCTCCAATATCTAAGTCATCTGGTGATTCATATTAAAAATTAGGCATGCATAATATATAGTAGAAATGTAAAATCTCAGGCTGCTACTTCCTCATACCTACAGAATCAGAAGCTGCATTTTAACAAGAATCTCAGCTCGTACACAGTTGAGTTTTTGTCCCTCAAAATAGTTACTTTCTCTACATTTATTCTGGTGAAATTTTGGTCAATGTTTTGGGATTCCTATTCTGGGAATTTCTTCAGAACCTGTATCACATTATAAACTATTCTTCTTAATGATTCTTATAAAACTTCAGCTCTGGGAAGCATTGTATTTTTTGAGGTATCTTATTTGGAAAATAAGATAGATGATGAAGTTGAAAAATACTGATTTTAGACCAAAATAATATATGATTGTAAAATTTTGGCTTGATTTTTTTGATGGCTTGTAAATCATTTTTGAAGTCAATTTTTTTTTTTTTTTGAGACAGAGTCTCGCTTTGTTGCCCAGGCTACAGTGAGTGCTGTGGCATCAGCCTAGCTCACAGCAACCTCAAACTCCTGGACTCAAGCAATCCTCCTGCCTCAGCCTCCCAAGTAGCTGGGACTACAGGCATGCGCCACCATGCCTGGCTAATTTTTTATATATATATTAGTTGGCCAATTAATTTCTTTCTATTTTTTTTATAGTAGAGACGGAGTCTCGCTCAGGCTGGTTTTGAACTCCTGACCTTGAGCGATCCGCCGGCCTCGGCCTCCCAGAGTGCTAGGATTACAAGTGTGAGCCACCGCCCGGCCCTTTGAAGTCAGTTTCTAAAGGAGAATTCCAAAAATGTTTCTGAAAATCATGAAATATATTAGATTTATTTCCTATAAAACTCCTTTGGAAAAAATACTTGAATATATAAGTTCTAATATGTTTGATTAAATTATTTTCATTACTTTATGGAAATATTTTCTATTTCACAGAGATAATTATTCTGTTTAACTCACTGAGCTTTCTTATGTCTTCGAAATGCACATAAATGTGGGACATGAGATCATTTTCTTTGTGGCTTTTGATTTCTAGCATTAGTTGCTGGCTGTCATGTTCTACAGTTTAAATTTCATTAACCCAGTATAGTTAAAAATCTCACATAAAATAAGTTCCTTAAGAGTACTTCTCATCCACCATTCTTAATGTTTACTGGATTAAAAAAAGTGCTAGGCAGGCCTAGCGCAGTGGCTCACACCTGTAATCTCAGCACTTTGGGAAACTGAGGCAGGAAGATCACTTGAGCCCAGGAGTTCAAGACCAGCCTGGGCAACATAGTGAGACCCTGTCTCTGCAAATAAAAAAAATTAGCCAGCGTGGTTGTGTTCACCTATAGTCCTAGCTACTCAGGAGGCTAAGCCAGGAGGATCACTTGAGCCCAAGAGTTTGAAGTTTGCAGTGAGCTATGATGACAACAGAGTGTGGGCAACAGAGCAAGACCCTGGTCTCAAGGGGGGGGGGAGGGAAGTACTAGGCAAAGGAAAAGATTAATTAAATCATATTTATTTTAAAAGTTTAGGCCAGGCGCGGTGGCTCATGCCTGTAATCCTAGCACTCTGGGAGGCTGAGGCAGGCGGATTGTTCGAGGTCAGGAGTTCAAAATCAGCCTGAGCAAGAGTGAGAGGAAATTAATTGGCCAACAAATATATATAGAAAAAATTAGGCCAGGTGTGGTGGTTCAGGTCTGTAATCCTAGCACTCTGGGAGGCCAAGATGGGCGGATTGCTTGAGGTTAGGAGTTCAAAACCAGCCTGAGCAAGAGCAAGACCGCCGTCTCTACTATAAATAGAAAGAAATTAATTGGCCAACTAATATATATAGAAAAAATTAGCTGAGCATGGTGGCCCATGCCTGTAGTCCCAGCTACTCAGGAGGCTGAGGCAGGAGGATTGCTTGAGCCCAGGAGTTTGAGGTGGCTGTGAGCTAGGCTGATGCCACGGCATTCACTCTAGCCTGGGCAACAAAGCAAGACCCTGTCTCAAAAAATAAAAATAAAAAGTTTAAAAACCTCAAAAAGTTGAGCTATGATTTCATACACTGAGAACGGGTAGTAGAGGTTGTTTTGCTTTTTAAAAATTACAGCAATTAAATTTTCATCTATTAAGTAGATGTTTCCCATGTAATATACATTTAAAACCACTTTTATTTTAAAATGAAAATATTTAGGACATAGAATCACTAATGCATATCCAATCAAAATTTTCTGGATTTTTTTTCTGTACTGTCCCAAAGTACTTTTTAGTCATATAAGACATACAGCCCTTCAGACTTAGGTTGTTAGAAATACTATTCAAAGACTACTGTCAGAAGAAGAGAACAAACGTGTATCTGCGTTTAGTGCAAATCATTTTCATAATGGGCCTTCGTGTCATATATTTCAGGCAAATATAGACCATTTCCTTGGGTTGCTAAAGTTAAAAGGTGTGGCTGGTCCGATGGTAGTGGATTATCAGAACTTATTAACATTAGTGTCACTAAAGTTGGTATTCAACCCCCCTCTGCTAAATTTGACTGGCTTTAAAAAAAAATTAAAAAAATAAAGTTAAAAAGTGAACCATGGCCAGGCACGGTGGCTCACGCCTATAATCCTAGCACTCAGGGAGGCCGAAGCAGGCAGATTGCTCAAGGTCAGGAGTTCAAAACCAGCCTGAGCGAGACCCCGTCTCTACCATAAAAATAGAAAGAAATTAATGGGCCAACTAACATATATATAATATAAAAATCAGCCAGGCATGGTGGCGCATGCCTGTAGTCCCAGTTACTCGGGAGGCTGAGGCAGGAGGATCGCTTGAGTCCAGGAGTTTGAGGTTGCTGTGAGCTAGGCTGACACCACAGCACTCACTCTAGCCTAGCAAGAAAGCGAGACTGTCTCAAAAAAAAAAGTGAGCCGGGCGCGGTGGCTCACGCTGTAATCCTAGCTCTTGGGAGGCGAGGCGGGCGATTGCTCAAGGTCAGGAGTTCAAAACCAGCTGAGTAGAGAGCGAGACCCGTCTCTACTATATAGAAAGAATTAATGGCCAACTGATATATATATAAAAAAATTAGCCGGCATGTGGCGCATGCCTGTAGTCCCAGCTACTCGGGGGCTGAGGCAGAAGGATCGCTCAAGCCCAGGAGTTTCGAGGTTGCGTGAGCTAGGCTGACGCCACGGCCACTCACTCTAGCTGACAACAAACCGAGACTCTGTCTCAACAAAAAAAAAAAAAGTGAACCATGATTGTTTATAGGGATAATAGATAGCAGGTACAAAGGGAGAGGTGGGTGAATGTGGATTAGCACACATTATCAACTGTAGTGTTTCTATAGCATTGAATAATTGCTCCAAAATGAGAGAAGAACCTTCTTTGCCTAGTACTGAGTTAATTTTATGAAGGGGTGGGACACTTTAGCCATAACATCATGATCTGAGTACGTTTTTCTGGATTTTCGTGGGTAATTATTCAATAGTGCTTTTAGCTCAGTGGTGGTGGAGGAGAACAATTGTTATAATTGTTCTTTAACAACAAATAGTAAAGTCAAAGTTTAAATAAAGCTTCAGTACCATCTATCATCTTTATAAAGAGCCAATGAATTTAGTAAAAAATGCTATACGGCACGGTGGCTCACGCATGCTAATCTAGACTTTGGAGCGCGAGGCGGCGGGTAGCTCAAGGTCAGGAGTTCAAAAACCAGCTGAGCGAGACGCCACCGGCCCGTCTACCGAAAATTAAGAAATTATTGACACTAACAATAGTTAATAAACAATTAGCCGGGCATGGTGCGCGCATGCCTGTTAGTCCAGCTACTCTGGGAGACTGAGGCAGTAGGATCACCTGCGCCCAGGAGACTTGGAGGATTGCTGTGCGCAGGCTGAACGCCCACCAACTCACTCTAGCCTGGGCAACAAACGTGAGACTCTTGTCTCAAAAAAAAAAAAAAAAAGCTATATATTCAATTTCATAATATCTTCCTATTTTCAGGGAATGGCCTTCCCAGTGATTGATAATCAAACCTTTCAGTTGCTTCAGTCCTAAAAGAGTTTTGCTCAACCCTTTAGAGGTCCACATTACAGGTTTTATAGTTTTGACTTTTGTTCAAGTCATTATAACAGTTGACATTTCTTATTGTTGCTGTTAGTTTTGTTTTAAATTTATCTTTTGGCTTCTTGTTCTAAGCTGAGACGAACATGGTTTGGTATGACTGGATGAGGCCCTCTCATGCACAGCTTCACTCTGACTACATGCAGCATCTGACTGAGGCCAAAGCCAGGAGTAAGAACAAGGTTCGGGGTGTCCAGCAGCTGGTACAGCGCCTCCGACTGATCAAATCTCCTGCAGAAATTGAACGAATGCAGATTGCTGGGAAACTGACATCACAGGTTGGTTCATATTGAAAAATGTTTTCCCAATTGACAAATCTTAAGGTCTTAGGGGTCAGTAGGCCCCTTGAGGTCATAAACCCAATGCAGTAATCTCACAGCAGATGAACATCTAACTTCTACTTCAGTGTTTGGTGAACAGATCTAGACATTTGCTCAATATCTTGTAAGGCAAAGTAAATCTGCCTTGTTTTAAGATTGTTGTTTTTTTTTGGTTTTTTTTTTGCCATAAGGTCTCTTGCGCGCTCTCTCTCTCTCTCGTTCTGTCACCTGGGCTAGAGTGCAGTGGCATCATCATAGCTCACTGCATCCTATGCGTGACTCAAAGGAGGCCCATTCATTACAAAAAGAAGTAAAGCAAAATCAGGCATTTGACCATCTACAAAGCGAGAACTTCTTTATCCTGTTTAGTCTATGTAACCGTGTAAAAGAGCCATGACTGCACACTGGTGAATGCCTGTAGTCTTTTCCAAAAAGCCCAACAGAAGAAAGGCAAGTGGGAAATACTTGCATGGCTTGCTCCCTCTCTTTATTCAAATCTTTCCTCATGTGTTTCCTCCTCAGAGCAGCCTTTTCTGACTACCCTATCTAAATTAGTACCTCCCATCCACTTTGTACCCTTCTATTGCTTCATTTTTCCTAACAGCGCTTAATTCCAGATGATTGTATCTCAGGTATTTGTTCATTGTCTTTCCTCAACTAGAACATAACTAACTGACACACGGACAGCTTAATTGCCTCATCACTGTATCCTCAGAACCTAGAGCAGTGCCTGGCACACAGCAGGTACTCAGTAAAAGTCTGCTGGCTGAATGAGCAATTAAAATCAGTTAAAGGATACAACACACACAAACGTTGACAAATAACTAGTTAACACTACATTTTTAGCATGAAGCCTTAAAAAAGGGGGGGAAATGTAATAGTTCCAATGAGTTCAAAGTCGTGGCTTTTTTTTTTTTTTTAAAGAGAGGGGGGGTCTCAATATGTTGCCCAGGCTAGAGTGCAGTGGCTATTGATAGTTGTGATCATGGCACACAACAGCCTCAAATTCCTAGGCTCAAGTGATCCTCCTGCCTCAGCCTCTTGAGTAGCTGGGACTAAAAGCATGCACATCACACCTAGCTAATTTTCTTTCTTTTTTTTTTTTCCTTCAAATTTTAGTTGCCTGGCTAATTTCTTTTTATTTTTCATAGAGATGGGGTCGCTCTTGCTGAGGCTGGTCTTGAACTCCTAACCTCAGCCACCTCGGCCTCCCAGAGTGCTAAGATTACAGGCATGAGTCCCCACACCCAACCTGTTTGTTTTTGAGCCAGGGTCTCACTCTGTTGCCTGGGCTAGAGTACAGTGGTATGATCACAGCTTACTGTAGACTCAAACTCCTGCTGAGGCAGGAGGATCACCTGGGCTCAAGTGACCCTCCTACCTCAGCCTCCTGAGTGGTGGGGACTACAGGCACACCCCACCATGCCCAGCTAATTTTCTTAAACTTAATTTCTCTTGTCATATTTTATGTATACATGTAAGCTAATCAGAATCTTTTTGGAACAAGGTAGAATGAATTACAAACATAAATGCTTAGAAAAACAGAAAACACATAAGGTGTGGCTATCACAGAGAATTAATAAAAGTGCTTATATTGGCTGGGCGAGGTGGCTCACGCCTGTAATCTGGGAGGCTGAGGCGGGCGGATTGCTTGAAGTCAGGAGTTCGAAACCAACCTGAACGAAACCCCATCTCTACTAAAAATAGAAAGAAATTAGCCAAACAACTAAAGATAGAAAAAATTAGCTGGATATGGTGGCGCGTGCCTGTAGTCCCAGCTACCCGGGAGGCTGAGGCAGGAGGATTGCTTGAGCCCAGGAGATTGAGCTTGCTGTGAGCTAGGCTGATGCCACGGCACTCTAGCCCGGGCAACAGAGTGAGACTCTGTCTCAAAAAAAAAAGTGCTTATACTATAGGCCAAAGGTTCTCAATTGGGGGAAATTTTGTGCCCTATGGCAGCAGTCCCCAACCTTTTTTCCATGGACTGGGGTGGGAGATGGCTTTGGGATGTTTCAAGCACATTACATTTATTGTGCAGTCAAACCTCTCTGCTAATGATGATCTGTAGCTGCAGCCACTCCCCAGTGCTAGCATCACTGCCTCAGCTCCGCCTCAGATCATCAGGCATTAGATTCTCATAAGGAGCTCACAACCTAGATCCCTAAATGCGCAATTTCCAGTAAGGTTCATGCTGCTGTGAGAATCTAATGCTGCTGCTGATCTGATAGGAGACAGAACTTGTGTGATGATGTGAGTGCTGAGGTACAGATGAAGCTTTGTTCCCTCGCTCGCCTGCCACTCACCTCTAGCTCTGTGGTCCAGTTTCTAACAGGCTATGGACCAGTACTGATCCTCAGCCTGGGGGTTGGGGATTGCAGCCCTAGGGGACATTTTGGCAATGTCTGGCTGTCACATTTGGCATCCTATATTGAGCAGGACAGCTCTCCCACAACAAGGAATTATCTGGCCCCAAATATTTATAGTACTAAGGTTAGGAAATCTTGCTGTAGACCAGACCATTCAATCCATAATTTCATCCATTCCAGGACTATAGAAGCATCTTGTTACATAAATGACAAATGTATTTCCTAGTATTTTATGCTTCTGTAACAAATTACCTGAGACTATGTCATGTATAAAATAAAGAAATTTGGCCGGATGCAGTGGCCCATGCCTGTAATCCTAGCACTTTGAGAGGCTGAGGCAGGAAGATTATTTGAGTTCAGGAGTTCATGACCAGCCTGAGCAAGACCCCATCTCTACAAAAAACAGAAAAACTATCCAGGCTTGGTGTCACATGCTAGTAGTCCCAGCTACTCAGGAGATTGAGGCAGGAGGATTGCTTGAGCTCACGAGTTTGAGGTTGCAGTGAGCTATGATCATACCACCTCACTCTAGCCCAGCCCATAGAGAGACCCTGTTTCCAAAAAAAGAAAATAGAACTCTGTTTCCTCACAGTTCTGGAGGCTAGGAAGTCCATGATAAAGGCACAAGCAGGATCCGTGCCTTTTAAAGGCTCATTCCTCATACCTGGCACCATCTAGATGTCCTTACATGGAAGAAGATAGAAAATCAAGAGGGGCAGAACTCACTCCCTCAAGCCCTTTTATAAGGTCGCTAATCATATCCATGAGGGCAGAGCCCTCATATTTAATCATGTCCCCAAAGGCCCCACCTATTAATACTACCACAACAGTAGGGATTAAGTTTCAACAGGTATTTTGGAGAGACATATTCAAACACAGCAGTTTTTATGTTGCTGATTCTAGCATGCAGCATATATTCTGAGTGGGAAAGTTGAGTGCCCTTTCACTAAGTCTGTCATCAGTCAATATTCCTGAAAGCAGTATTTTTTCCCTTCAGAAATCTATATTATTATGCCCACTGAGTCACAACTTTGGGTTGAAAAAATTGTGGTGAGATGTGCTTTTCATTTGACTTCCAGTATTTTAAACGTTTGCGTAAGCAACATAGTTAGAATGAGACTGTGTTCTTTTCATCTTCCCTTCTCTTTACAGGCTTTCATTGAGACCATGTTCGCCAGTAAAGCTCCTGTGAACGAAGCCTTTCTTTATGCTAAGGTGAGCTTCAGATGGTTGGAAAAGTCTTGTTGGAGGGGAATGTATAGTGATTTGATTGATTTGCAGATGGCATACAGTCAGCTTTCATGGTAGTGACCAGCATGTCATTGGAGAGGATTTAGTTCTCACATGTCACTGGTAATTTATTACATGCGTCTGAAACGTGCAGTGCTACAGTTAAAGGAAGAACATTGCAAAGTAGAACAGATGAAGACAGGAAGACTTGCTGTGAGGTAAGAAGAGTAATACTGTTTAGGTAAATGTAAAGGAAGAAGAGGCTGAGGTGGTGCTGTAGAAAGTGGCAGATACTCACCAGCCTCCAGCTCCATCCTAGAACATAGTGAAATTAGTAAGATTGACAATTCGTGTAGCATCCTTTTTAACTTTTTCAGAGCATTTAGGTTAGTAGCTATTTGAAAGGTTGAAATTAGTAATTTAGAGCTGTTAAAAAGGTGAACCATATTTCGGTGTTTAGCTAAATAAGAATAAACAAACAATAACCTTACTTGTTTTTATCTCTGGACTCAGCCTTCATCATAGGTTTTCTGTGTCCTCTTCTGGACTTTATTTGAAAATCATGGGAAATATAAAGAACAATAAGGAGAAAAGGACACATTTAATAATAGGGTTGGCCGGGCATGGTGGCTCATGCCTGTAATCCTAGCACTCTGGGAGGCCAAGGCGGGCGGATTGTTTGAGCTCAGGAGTTCGAGTCCAGCCTGAGCAAGAGCAAGACCCCGTCTTTACTATAAATAGAAAGAAATTAGCCAAACAACTAAAAACAGAAAAATTAGCCAGTCATGGTGGCACATGCCTATAGTCCCAGCTACACAGGAGGCTGAAGCAGAAGGATTGCTTGAGCCCAGGAGTTGGAGGTTGCTGTGAGGTAAACTGATGTCATGGCACTCTAGCCCGGGCAACATAGTAAGACTCTGTCTCAAGAAAAAAAAAAAAATAATAATAGGGTTGAATACAGGATTCGTGGGAGTAAAAGAAGATTTATAGCATACCTAGGTTATAGTACATGGGGTGAGAATAAAAGAAATGGACTGAAATTACAACATAAAATGTTTGCGTAGACATGAATAGTTTTCCAGTAGTGACCTAAGGTTAGTACTGGTATGGAGGTGTATGGACTGTTGAAGAGAGCCTGGACTTGGGTAACCCTACAGAAATCCTTTACTCATACCTTGCTATTGTTTTTCACAGTTTGAATTTGAATGCCGAGCTCGTGGTGCAGACATTTTAGCCTACCCACCTGTGGTTGCTGGTGGTAATCGGTCAAACACTTTGCACTATGTGAAGAATAATCAACTCATCAAGGTACATGAAACGCCTTTCAGTGCTACTCCCACTAGGTCCACATGACCTAGTAGAAAACCTGCTAATTCCATGGTCCCCTAACCCTCACCCTTCAAAAATTAACTGCCATTTTAAAAGCACTTTATTGTTTATAAAATGGTTTTCAGACATTATGTCATTTTATTCTCACATTAGCCCTATTACATAGGAGCAATTATTGATATGCCTGTTCAGTAGATAAGGAAAATAAACTTCAAAAATTAAGCAACTCATTAGTGCAGAACCAAATATTCTACTCTAAAGCCTCTGCTAATTTAATTTATAACACTGTCCTTTCTAAGGACTTGTGGTAACAACAGTGGGCCTAGCATATTTTGGTGGGAGCAGAATGATTTTAATAAAACCTTATTGGCCAGTGGTGGCTCATGCCTGTAATCCTAGCACTCTGGGAGGCCAAGGTGGGTGGATCTTTTGAGCTCAGGAGTTCAAGACCAGCCTGAGCAAGAGCGAGACCCTGTCTCTACTAAAAGTAGAAAGAAATTAGCTGGAGAACTAAAAATGTATAGAAAAAATTAGCTGGGCATGGTGGCACATGCCTGTAGTCCCAGCTACTTGGGAGGCTGAGGCAGGAGGATCGCTTGAGCCCAGGAGTTTGAGGTTGCCGTGAGCTAGCTTGATGCCATGGCACTCTAGCCCTGGCAACAAAGCAAGACTGTCTCAACAAAAAAATAAATAAATTAGAGCTTTTTGCAAAAAATAAAATAAAAGGTGTAGTTTAGATTAGAAGAAATAATTTACAGTTATGGTATTACCCACTTTAACTTATCTTACTTTGTTCCAGGATGGGGAAATGGTGCTTTTGGATGGAGGTTGTGAGTCTTCCTGCTATGTGAGCGACATCACCCGTACCTGGCCTGTCAATGGCAGGTAGGGCTTCTACAGAATAATGTGTCCCACTGCTTTTTAGGAGTATGAGTTAGAATGTAGATATATTTGGAAAAAATGATTATGGAAATATATGCAGGTCCCTTTAACTGTGTTTGAAGAGCTCCTAATTATTTTCTGAGGCTGTTTTGTTCATCCTATCACAGGATCATTCACCTAGAAACACCTAGTTAACTAATACACGTGGACTTTTTTTTAAGAGATGGTGTCTTCTATGTTTCCCAGGCTGGAGTGCAATTGCTATTCACAGGTATGATCATAGAGCACTACAGCCTCAAACTCATGTCCTCAGTGATCCTCCTACCCCAGCCTCCTGAGTAGCTGGGATTACAGGGACATGCCACCACACCTGGTTCACACACAAACATTGTTTTAAAAATAAATCTGACTTTTTTTTCTCATTATAAAAGCAATATGTAGGTTATAGTAGAATACTTTGGTTGGATTAACCCTCCACAAGTAATAATTATAAAATCTGAACAAAATACTAAAAAACAACTGTCTAAAGACACCAGAGAGCTTCCAGAAACAGGCAAAAACTTTGCTTTCTCCTTGAAAGTAGAACTGTAATGGGTAAATTTAGTAGTTCGAGCTTTGTGCCTGAGAACATTCCCAAATCCACGCAACTTGGGCAGCAGAAAGCCATAGATTGGTTGGTTATTTGTTTTTTTGCCAAAGACAGAGTCTTGCTCTGTTGCCTGGGCTAGCCTGAGCAACATAGCAACACCCCATCTCTACAAAAAGTAAAAAAATTAGCATGGTGGTACACACCTGAACTCTCAGTTACTCAGGATACTGAGGCAGGTGGATCACTTGAGCCCCAGGAGTTAGAGGTTACAGTGAGCTATGATTGTGCCACTGTAGCTTGGGTGACAGTGAGACCCTATCTCTAAAAAACATAAAAATTAAAATAAATACGAAAGAAAAACTAAATAAAGTAGCTATTATAGATATATCCACTGACTTAAAGAAAGATATAGGCATAATGATTGAACAGATGGAGAATCTCAGTGAGAAACAGAAACTGTAAAAAGAACCTGGGATTCTGGAGAGGTGAGAACAGCAGTCTAGTTTTCAGTCTTTCCAAATTGTCAAATAAAAATATAGCAACTAGATAGCAAAACTAAACACTAGGTAATAGGGTATCATAACAAACTTCAAAATTCATAAACATTCAGTATATACCAGTATGCAATTAGCAAAATCCAGACTGTGACAAACTCTGTGGTTCAAACAGCTTGGATTGTTTAACAGATAAATTATAAGGAAATGGAATGGAAGCAGATCCTGTTACCTAAAAGAAATTTAAAAGGCATATCAAATTTATATTAAATGAGCAGGAAGAAAATTCTCTTGGGATGCATATTTGGATGATAAAAATATTTTTTAAAACACAAGGAATAATGCATGGGTTTGGATTTATGGCAGGCCTGTCCACTGGGCCTTTCAAAGTGCCCATGCCAGAGCAAACTGTGGCTCTGAACCATTGCCTGGCCTGTGCCTGTAGGCTGCTGATACTGAAGCAGGTTGCTCAGTGGAAGAAGAAAAAAGGAAAAAAAAAAAAAAACGCAGGGAATGGAGAGGAACTGCTAACACAGACAGGATTTTTAGAGGGGTGAAAAATATTCTGAAATTAGATAGTGGTGATGGTTGCACAGCATTTAATATACTAAAATCCATGTAGGGCCGGACGCGGTGGCTCACAACTGTAATCCTAGCTCTTTGGGTGGCCGAGGTGGGAGGTTTGCTTGAGCTCAGGAGTCTCAACTCCTGAGCTCAAGCAAACTCTACTATAAATAGAAAGAAATTAGCCAAACAACTAAAAATAGAAAAAATTAGCTGGGCATGGTGGTGTGTGCCTATAGTCCCAGCTACTGGGGGAGGCTGAGGCAGAAGGATCACTTGAGCCCAGGAGTTGGAGGTTGCTATAAGCTAGGCTGACGCCATAGCACTCTAGCCTGGGCAGCACAGTGAGACTCTGTCTCAAAAAAATAATAAAAATAAAATAAAATCCATGTAGTATATGCTTTTTTAAAGTGAGTGAATTTTATGGTATATGAATTAAATTTTAATAAAAATGATAAACATGTACACATAAATTAAAAAACACAAGGAAGTGATTACTATAAAAGTTAGGATAATGGTTATTTATCAGGGGGATTGCTATTGTTATGGGACACAAAGGGTTTCTGGGATAATTAGCCAAGTTTTTTTTAATCTGACTGGTTTTGGCCTTATTATAATTTCATAAGGTTTATATGTGATTTGTTTGGCTTTCTGTATGTTTTGTTTTACAATAAAAAGATTTTTTAAAATTTTTAAGTGGAAATTTGAAAGGTGAAAAGGACAGTAACTGAAATGGAAAATTCACTAAGTAAACTTAAGAGTAGATTGGAAACAGAAGTTAGTGAACTTGAACATAAATAGAAATTATCCAGTTGGAAGAATAGAAATGTAGAAAAATGAATAAAATGTCAGAGACCTATGAGACATTTTCAAGCAATCTAACACATCTATTTAAAGTCTCAGATGTTGAGAAAAAAAAAGATTGCCTGAGCCCAGGAGTTTGAGGCTATAGTAAGCTGTGGTTGCACCGCTGCACTCCAGCCTGGGCAGCATAGCAAGACCCTGTCTCTAAAAAAAAGGTCAGAAACAAGAGAAAAATGCCCACTGTTCCCACTTCTGTTTAACTTTGTACTAGCCTTTTGGAGCCTTCTGTGACTGGAATCTATCTATAGGTCTAAAAGCAACCACCTCAAGGAAATTACCTGTAGGTTTGTCAGGCAAAACAGGGTTAAATCTTCTCAGATGGGGGTGGAAGGGCTGTTTCTACTGGCAAAGAAGACTCAGCAGAATGTACCAGTTCATTGTCCCCAGCCTCAGTAGGATTGGTACACCCATTTGTCAGACTTCTCCAGCTCAGATTTGTGCATTTCAGTGTGGGTAAATTTTATGTTAAAAAATAATTATTTGATAATCCTGTGGTGGGGTTCAGGTAGGTACATTTATAGGTGCTATAATCATAACAGTGTTGATAATGGTTGGACATAGGAGATCGGTACATAGGTGTTCATTTTACTATCCTATTGTTATATTTAACCATTCTTCTTTTAAGTGACATTCAGTTTTTTTGAATTTCAAATATTAGGATAGATTCTTAGAGCAGAATTACAAGTTCAAATTATATGACCATCTTTAAGGCCTTTGATTTAATTGGCCATACTAATTAATACTCCTATCAACAGTGAGAATATATAACATACATCATCCCAACTCACTTTTCTCTCATTTTATACCCATGATTGCTAAAGAAACTGTTATTTTAAGGACACTTAAATACTAGTAAGTAATAGCCAGGGTATTGATATTAATAGTTTGTCCCATGATATCTGCTTCATCTATCAGAAGTGGATCTCTAGGCTTTTTTTTTTTCCTTTCCTCTTTTTTTTTTTTTTTTTTTTTTTTTTTTTTTTATTTTCTATTTTCCCTCTCCTTTTGTTTTTTTTTTTTTTTTTTTTATGGTAGTCTATACCAGGGGTCCTCAGACTTTTTAAACAGGGGGGGCCAGTTCACTGTCCCTCAGACCGTTAGCGGGCCAGACTGTAGTTTAAAAAAATATGAACAAATTCCTATGCACACTGCACAGATCTTATTTTGAAGTAAAAAAACAAACGGGCAAAAACACCCGCATGTGGCCCATGGGCCGTAGTTTGAGGACGCCTGATCTATACCATACAGGATTAAGGTTCAAGGGTGAGCCTGGTCTGGCCCGGCCCTCTGACTGCATTTATGGCTATGTACATCTTCTACCTTCACCTCATATGTACATCTGCTGACAATCTGAAGGAGAAACTGTTGCTGTTTCAGCTTGAAGGACTATTGCTTTTCCTGTTGAGCCTCTAGGGCATGATTAAGGTCCTGTCAGTAATGATGTTGGTACTTGGTACTTATTAGACATCAAAAATGCCCCATCATCATCCTCTTGGAGTTTTTCTGATCAAACTTAGAAGCAAATTTACTGTTAATATCAGATTATACTAAATTCAAGTTCTTTGGCTTTCCTGTCTCCAGGTTCACTACACCTCAGGCAGAACTCTATGAAGCTGTTCTAGAGATCCAGAGAGACTGTCTGACCCTCTGCTTCCCTGGGTCAAGCTTAGAGAACATCTACAGCATGATGCTGACGCTGATAGGACAGAAGCTTGAAGAGTTAGGGATCATGAAAAATGTTAAAGAAAATAATGCCTTCAAGGTACTTTGTTTCTCTTGACCCCAGTTCTCAAGAACACCTAACATGCTGCTAGGTTTTTACCCTAAATAAAGCTATTAGATTTAGATAATGGTCTTTGCAGTTTGTCATCTGTAAGAGGAGCTTAGCTTTAACATAGATTAAAACAAAAGAAGTCAGTACTTATTTCTCCCAGAAGATGGCAGCACATTCTGATTCATCGGCTACTGCAGAAAACAAAATGAAGTATGGTGCAGACAGGGTGGAAAAGGACAAAAATGAGAAGTTAACTCTTAATCCTTTTGTGGTGATTCTGGAGTTGAAGGGGAGGATATTTGTTGCTTTAGTAACATCTTTGAAACTTCAACAGTATGCCCAAGGCAACATCTTTGGTGAATTTTTTCTGCATCCAAAATATTATTGTTCGGTAAAAATGTAAAACCTCAGCCTAAAAATTAAGATGCTAGGTGCTCAAGCTGGATAGACCATTGGGTATCTCCCACCTCCAAGTTTAGGTTGCCAGGACTTCTGTAATCAATAAGGTGGTGGCTATGGTGTTTCAACTGAGTATGGTGGCTCACACCTGAAACCCTAGCACTTTGGGACACCAAAAGTGCTTGAGGCCAAAAAAGCAAGACCAGCCTAAGCAACACAGGAGTTTGAGGTTGCTGTGAGCTAGGCTGATGCCACAGCACTCTAGGCTGGGCAACACAGTGAGACTCTGTCTCAAAAAAAAAAAAAAAAAGAAGAAGAAGAAGACCATATCTCTCCAGAAAAAAAAAAATTAGCCAATGACAAAATTAGTCAAAATTAGTACATTAATACTAATTTTGGCTAGTAATTAGCCAAAATTAGTACAATGACACACACCTATAGTCTCAGCCACTCTGGAGGCTGAGGCAGGAGGACACTTGAGCCCAGGAGTTTGAGGTTGCTGTGAGCTATGATCACACCACTGCACTCTAGCCTGGGCTATAGAGTCTCAAAATAAAAAAAAGAAGCAGCAGCAGCTATAAATTCCCTTTTGCTCAGGCTGACAAATCTTCAATTAACTGTTAGAAATATCCAAGCTGGTAAATGCCCGATAATTATGCCAATTCTACAAGTTACTGTGAAATATTTGGGGCCTCCAGAGGAGGCTTCCTCAGAGGTATATGTGAACAGTGAAAAAACAAATACTCTAACATTCATTCTCCCTTCCCCAAGAAGTCAGGTTTTTTATTTTATTTTTTTTTTTTGAGACACAGTCTCACTCTGTTGCCCAGGCTAGAGTTCCGTGGCGTTAGCCTAGCTCACAGCAACCTCAAACTCCTGGGTTCAATCAATCCTTCTGCCTCAGCCTCCTGAGTAGCAGGGACTACAGCCATGCACCACCATGCCCAGCTAATTTTTTCTATATATTTTTAGTTGGCCAATTAATTTCTTTCTATTTATAGTAGAGATGGGCCTCGATCTTGCTCAGGGTGGTCTCAAACTCCTGACCTTGAGCGATCCTCCCGCCTTGGCCTCCCAAAGTGCTAGGATTATAGGCATGAGCCACCGCGCACAGCCAGAGACTTTTTTTTTTTCAAGAGAGAGTCTTGCTATGTTTCCTAGGCTAGAGTGCAGTGGCACAATCATAGCTCACTGCAACTTCCAGTGCCCAGTCTCAAGCAGGCCTCCTGCTTCGGCCTTAAGTGCTAGGATTACAGGTGTGAGCTACCATGTCCAGCCAAGATTTTCATTTGAGACAGTCATTACTGAGATTACCCAAATCAGCATGTATGTAGTATATTAAATAGTGGCGAATTAGTTAGAATGCCATTGGCAGAATTGCATACAAAAGGTAGCAGTTTATCAGACTTCCTAAGCATTAGCCCAAGGGTAGATTAAACCTAAGTGGCAATACCATGGGGGATATATTAATACATATCTCGATAATTTATGAATGTTCAACTTTCCCCTTAAGGGGTCTACTAATACTGTGCTCTAATAATTCTGTAGTAATTACCTTTTCCAGGCTGCTCGAAAATACTGCCCTCATCATGTTGGCCATTACCTTGGGATGGATGTGCATGACACTCAAGACATGCCCCGTTCCCTCCCTCTACAGCCCGGGATGGTAATCACAATTGAACCAGGTAAGGAGAGGTGTTATAATAATAGTAAGACATAAACATTGTTTATTTTTACCTGAACCAATATAATTAAATTAGAAGAGACTGGGGAAAAAAATCTCTCCAGTGGAGAAGATACTCATTTTAGATTTATCTTTAGTTTTCTTATTTAACATTACACAGTTTATTTAATTTGACTCCTTTAATAAACAACAGATGGAGTATATTTTATATAAGTAGATATGAAGAATTGAATCTTTTTTAATCCTGCTTTTGCCAGGGCCAGTTTGTCCTGGTCTCTCATTTAGTAGTGGTAGACCACAAAAGCTTCCAGAACCCTGGTGCTTACATGCTGAGAGACACTCGGGTGTACCGTGCTCCAGTTGCAACACCTCTGCAAGCTGTACTGAACAAGCTGGCACTACCCTAATCCTTAATATCCAACTCGTTCCTCACAAGCTTTTTCTATATATGTTTAGCTGTCCAAGTATTTTCTTTCTATTTTTAGTAGAGACGGGGTCTCACTGTTGCTCAGACAGACTGGTCTCGAACTCCTGAGCTCAAACGATCCTCCACCTCGGCCTTCCAGAGTGCTAGGATTATAGGTGTGAGGCACCTCACCTGGCCCACAGTGAAACTTGAAGGTTGATGTTATAAGACTTGATTGTTAAACACTAATGCAGGTTTTATCATAAAAACAGGTGTCAATTTTATTTTATTTATTTATTTTAGCTAAGTGGAATTGTGCAAATGGTCTCAATTTTAGATTCAAATATTCTAAATTATATAAATTATGTCTGGGAAATGTCTTTTATACCACCCTTTGAACCCAGTCATGCATTGATCTCTGTGGCCTTAAATACCATTTATTTCAATCTATTTGTTACCTGGATGCTTTCTTAAACTTTGACTACATTTTCCATGGTCTTTTTCTTTTTATCACAGACCAGTATCTGTGAGTAGAGTGGAAGATTGCATTTCTTTAATATAAAAAGACCTGGCGTCTGTCTAACTTCATGGTTAGGAAGGTTGCTGAGGCTCCTAGATTTTTCTAAATGTGCATAAAGTCTTTTTGTTTCTCTCTTACTTTACATTATGTACATGAGTTATAGCTTGAGAGGTGAAAAAAACTTTAAAATGACCATTTCTGCAGCTTCTGGTTGTTAAGGCTAATAATCCCTAAATAAATTTTAAGTAAACTTTGTATTTATTTTCACAAAGTACCCTTTTGCAGGTGACTATAAGGCAGAGGAAGAATACACTTACATAATCTGCTGGTTCCCACCATATATTGACATACTCATAAGTTAAGCAACTTTAGTGGCCTGCTTGAGCCACCAGAATATGACAGTAACATGATCAACATTAGCATAGTTGTATGGAGCCTATAGTCTAATATACAAAATAACTATAATAATAATAATTCTAGTAGTGATAGCCAACATTTACTGACCATCATGTACTAAGCACTTTTATGTGTATTATCTCATTTAATCCTCACAACTCTATTATCTAGGTACTGCTAAGATCCAATATTAAAGATGAAGGAATTTTAGCCAGGCATGGTGGCTCATACCTGTTATCCTAGTACTTTGGGAGGCTGAGGTGGGGAGGATTGATTGAGGCCAGGAGTTCATGACCAGCCTGAGTCCCGATCTCTAGAAAAAAAAAAAAAAAGATGAAGGAATTTTAACAGAAAAGTTAACTTACTTTCCCAAGTCACCCAGTTATTCTCATTGCTGAACAGCACATTCTTCTTTCTACTTCTCAGGCATTTATATTCCGGAGGATGACAGAGATGCCCCAGAGAAGTTTCGGGGCCTTGGTGTACGAATTGAGGATGATGTAGTTGTGACTCAGGACTCGCCTCTCATCCTTTCTGCAGATTGTCCCAAAGAGATGAAGGACATTGAACAGATATGCAACAGGGCCTCTTGACCTTCATCACAGCCCGCATGCATCTCAGGTTCAAGAGGGTGTGCACTGGCTTCCCTGCACATGTGCTAAGTGCCTCTGTGCCTCTGTGTGTATGCGTGTGCACGTGTTCCATTTGGGAGTGTGCAGCAGCTGTATGAATATATATAATGATGTATGTGGGGTTTTTTAAGTAAATAGAAATCTGGAAAAATGAATTTTTGAACAATATGTTACTGCAGCTTTAGTAACATTAATTCAGTAGAATTAATGACCTAAGCAAGTTTAATTTTTTAACATAAGAAAGTTTTGGTTATATATGTCCGTGCATTCCAATTAACATATTTAAACATACAGAAAATTCTCTTCTTGTTTTCAGGTCCTTCCCTTCTTGCACTTTTGCTGAGATCCACCTAATATCATAAGATGTTTGTATGATGCCTGTATTTTGAGCTAATCACCAATGTCTCTGCCTGTGCTAAAAGCCATCTGTCAGTGATTGTGGGTGGCGCATACATACCTTCTACAACCCCTCCCTACCTACTCCAGATCCTGCATACTGACTAGAGCCACATAAGCCCTTAAGGGCACTGGTGTCCTGTAATCTTGCCATTCAGCCAGATTCTAGCAACACTAGCTCTCAAACAAAACAGTTTTGAGCCTTTCTTGCCATTTGGTTGCCTTGGGCGGAGCCTGTAAAGTGTTTAGATTCTTGATAAGGAAGGAAATGGAAGAGAAATAAAAATATGTATGTGACTACTACAGATCCAGACCTCCAGCCATTAGTTCTCTTCAGTTTAAAGATGATTCCTTTCCCAAACATCCGTGATTCCTTTATAGGATCTTAATACATTGACCTTCATAGGTTACCCTTATAGCTGCTGAGCTGGCCAAGGGCAGATCCTCTACTTACTCTATCAAAGTCAAAGTAGTGGTACCCAGTTTCCAGAGAAATACCCCTGTTATCATTCTGTGATTTCCTCTAGTGCTGTTAAAAACAAAATATGGAATCCACCAAGTCCCTGTAAGCATCCTATAATCCTTATCTTTCTCTAATGTTAGCACTGACTAGACAGTGGTAAAGAGGTACAGTATTAAATGCAGTTATACAACTCAGTTTGCAACGTGAGCAGGGCTAGATTACTGCAGGTGGTCTATTCAGGAGCTTCTGTGATACATAGAAGCTTTAAAAGCCAGTATGTTCATCTCCTTTAAATCTGAATATGTGCCCAGGACATACAAAATGTGATAATTGTTGAAGCATAAATTAGAGTATTTTTTAAAAAATATTTGTATTAGGGAAGTACAAACTAGGAGATTAACAGTCTCTGTAGTGCTAGAAGTTTGCTCGTGTCATCAGGAAAACCCAAGGTACAGAACCAAAAGCAGACAGGCAGTGACTTGATCAGAAGACAAAGATAATGTTACAACCAAAGTGTTACAAACTGTATCCTGACAGTGCTTATCCAGGAATGTTTGGCTTTGCTAAGCGTATCTAAACAGCTGTGGGAATGGAAGCTGCACAGCTGGAGTCTCCCTCCAACTTCTCAGATCTGTGCTACTTTCTAAAAGAGAGGGAAATAAGTCCACAACTCTGGCTTCTCACTTCCCAGGCCTCTGTGCCCCCAACAACCCTTTCCTTGGATTGGGTTTCCTTTGTTCATGTATAATCCTGGAATAAGGAATTTACATTTCTTCCTAAATGTTTCTGTGGTCTTCAACTTTCTAGCTAAAAGCTTAGGGGGCTTTTATGTATCGAAGCATACTTGGATGTGAAACGGACTGGAATCTCACTGGGATTCCAAATTCTACAGATGTTACTGGTAGTTAGAATGGCTATTGTGGAATTCTGGCAATTTTTAGTCCCTGACCCAGTTATATTGGCCTTTGAGTCCCAGATTAACCATAGCAACTGAACATTTGATTCAGACCATCAAGATAGCATAATGAATCTCTCATAGCAATGTTTTAAAGGCTGTCTGACAAACTCAGGATTTGTTGAACAGATAATTATGTATAGTGCAGTGTTCTCATTCATTCTTAGCCATGCCACAGACATTTCCCTCTAATTTTTTTGTTATTTTTTTAATAAAAAAGAATGCTATTGTTATTGGATATATTAATACAATAATTTTATTTTTCTTATGTTGTCAGGAAATAACCCATTCCACTTAAATGGGCTTTCCAAATACTAAAACAAACATTTCTTAAAATTTACATTATTCTAGTTTGCTGATCTTTTACATTTAACAAAGCTGGAACTTGAAGTTCTACCATAGTTACTGGGTTTTTTTTTAGAGACAGGGCCTTGCTCTGTTGCCCAGGCTGGAGTCAGTGACACGATCATAGCTCACTGTAACCTCCAATGCCTGGGTTCAGGCGAGCCTCCTGTCTCAGCCTCCTTAGTAGCTAGGACTACAGGTGATGCCACCATGCCCAGCTAATTTTTTTAAGTTTTTATAGAGAGAGGATCTTGCTGTGTTGCCCAGGCTGCTCTTGAACTAGCCCCAAGCAATCCTTGTGCCTTGGTCTCCTAAAGTGCTGGGATTATAGGTGTGAATCACCATGCCCAGCCTCTCCTATAATTTTTAACTGGTTTGCAAGTTATAAACTTATAAGTGTATAAAGGTGAATAATATAAATTTCAGAGTTTTAAGGTAAAGCTTTCATATCAACTTTTTTTAACTTAAAAAAAAATTTTTATTTAACATTTAATTGTACATATTTACAGGGTACATGGTGAGGTTTCAATACATAAAATGTGTAGTAATCATATCAGGATAATTAACATATCTATCATCTTGAACACTTATAATTTCTTTGTATTGGACCTTTCATTCTAAGTATAATAAATACTTCATATATACACCAAGATTTCCTGCTAAAAACCTTATTTTAAAAAACAATTGTTTCAAGGCCAGGCGCCATGGCTCACCCCTGTAATCCTAGCACTCTAGGAAGCTGAGGTGGGAGGATCACTTGAGGTCAGGAGTTCAAGACCAGCCTCAGCAAGAGCGAGACCCTGTCTCTACTAAAAATTTAAAAAATAAAATAAAAAATTTTTTTAAATTATTCAAACGTTACCGCTAGGATTTTCTCCCTGAACCGAAGATGTATGGTTGGATTATTAACAATGCCATCTAAATGAAGAAAGCATATTTAGATAGTGCCACATGCTTTTATATATCTATTTCAGGCATTGCTATTTTTTCCTCATTATCAGGAAACTGTGACTGTGATTTTTATTTTAAATACAATAGTAGAAATACTGGGATAAGGACTCTCCTCATAATCGTAGTATCCAAGTGAGGAAGGTGCTTCTAATGGTAACTTGAAGTACTCTATGTGCATCTTCTTTCAAAATCTTGTTTTTTTCTCATTTTTGTAAGGTGAGAAAGGGAAAATGCTCACCATAGAAATTGTATCTTTTTTTTTTTAATTTTTTTTTTATTTTGGCATATTATGAGGGTACAGATTTTAAGGTTTCAATAAATGCCCATTTCCCCCCCTCCCCCAAAAAGTCTGAGTCTCCATCATGACCATCCCCCAGATGGTGCACATCTCATTTATTATGTATGTATATACCCGCCCCCCTCCCACCTGCCCAATACCCTATTACTGTAGCACCTATGTGTCCACTTAGGGAAATTGTATCTTAATTGAGATTAAAATCTATAAAACTAGACCGGGTGCGGTGGCTCACGCCTGTAATCCTAGCACTCTGGGAGGCCGAGGCAGGTGGATCACTCACGCTCAGGAGTTCAAAACCAGCCTGAGCAAGAGCGAGACCCCGTCTCTACTAAAATTAGAAAGAAATTAATTGGCAACTAAGATATATATAGAAAAAATTAGCCAGGCATGATGGCGCATGCCTGTAGTCCCAGCTACTTGGGAGGCTGAGGCAGAAGGATTGCTTGAACCCAGGAGTTTGAGGTTGCTGTGAGCTAGGCTGATGCCACAGCACTCACTGTAGCCTGAGCAACAAAGTGAGACTCTGTCTCAAAAAATAAAATAAAATAAAAAATAAACAAAATCTGTAAAACTAGTTAAATCTCTAGGTAAAGATATCATAACTCATTAAAACAGAAAAATTCAGCTTTGTTATATTTTTCCAACCATCCATAACTCACACCCTCCTCAGTTTTGTTAATAATACGAAGATCGCAGACATGAAGCATAAGTGCTGCCTCTCCCTGTCCTGTGCAAAGATCACAGAAAAGCATAGTGTGCCATTCCACCAGTCCAGCTGTGACCTCAGAGTCCTTTGTAGCCATGTTTCCAATAACTGCTGCCAAAAAACAGTTGGAATTTGAGCTAGAAACTATCTCCCATCCCTCAACTAGTATATGATAGATGATAATGTAACTTATTTGTGTATTAGAAAATAAGTAAGGGCCCACAGATGGTGACAGCATAAAGAACCCTGCTTGGAAGAGGTTTTTAGGGTGTGGTTAATTTTTTTAAATGTTAGTTTCCTGAAGTAGGATGGATAGCCCACAGCTTACGCTGATGGTAAGTTTTAAACCTCGGCAAATATACTATAAGCTGAAGTGTTTTTAATGCTCCTAGAGTAATGAGATGACGAATGCATTGTTAAACCCTAACATTAGAGCAGAACTCCACTGTTACAAACCACATGGGTTCTCCTGGTTGCTCTTCTTGTCTCTCTGCCTGTGTGTCCCTGAATTAGAGCATCAGTATTGTTCCGATCAGAGGTCCTCACTGGAATCATCTTCTTGGGATGTGCTCCACAGGATTTGAGAAAAACTGCAGTCTTTGTTAGCATTTCTTAATGCTTTGAATGACTTTTGTGCAATTGTATAAGTTCAATTTGAACGAAATGCTGTTACTTTTTAAGGTATTACTATTGACTGAAAATGAATATGTCATTCCCCAACAAGGGGAAACCATTTGTTACTATCATTTTAAAAATAAACTATAAAAGAATATAGAAGTGTATGGTGTATGTTATTTTAGAATCTCGAGCTTACAGTTTTAAACAACATTTTCTTGTACAAAATATTTTACAGAGTGTTCATTAACTGCTGTCACAAAATCATGATAGCAAACTTGAGATGATCTTATCAGTTGTGGGGTGTAACCTGATGGCTTTGATCCAACCTATTAGAATTTTGACTCTACAAAATGGATTCATAGGTCTCCAGATAGCTCCTGTAACACTCAAGACTGGAAACAATAGCCATGAGCGTTTTATGAAGGTTGAATTTTGTGGGGAAGTAGGGTCAATTTGTAAAATCGTGAATATTTGAACTTTGTCAGTGAGCCATATAATTGTTTTGGTTTTTGAGACACAGTCTCGCTCTGTTGTCCAGGTTAGAGTGCCATGACTTTAGCCTATCTCATAACAACCTCACACTCCTGGGCTCAAGAGATCCTCCTGCCTCAGCCTCCCGAGTACCTGGGACTACATGTGCACACCTCACTATGCCTGGCTAATTTTTTCTATTTTTAGTAGAGATGGGGTCTCACTTTTGCTCAGGCTGGTCTTGAACTCCTGAGCTCAAGCAATCCTCTCATCTCCGCTTCCCAGAGTGCTAGGATTACAGGCATGAGCCACCACACCTGGCCAGAGACATATAATTGTAAATGTGGCCATCTCTCCCTATTAGGAGCCATCTTTATAATCTGATACTCTCTGTAAGGTGTACTTTCCACATCCTAGCACACATAAAAAGATACATGTTGTATGGCACATACAACTATAAAAAGTATGGGCCGGGCACCGTGGCTCACGCCTATAATGTTAGCACTCTGGAAAGCCAAGGTGGGAGGATCGCTCAAGATCAGGAGTTGGAAACCAGCCTGAGCAAGAGTGAGACCCCGTCTTTACTAAAAATAGAAAGAAATTAATTGGCCAACTAATATATATAATATAAAAATCAGCCGGGTATGGTGGCACATGCCTGTAGTCCCAGCTACTCGGGAGGCTGAGGCAGGAGGATTGCTTGAGCCCAGGAGTCTGAGGTTGCTGTGAGCTAGGCTGACGCCACGGCACTCACTCTAGCCTAGGCAAGAAAGCGAGACTCTGTCTCAAAAAAATAAAAAATAAAAAAAAATAAAAAATTTTAGAATACCAATCTGTGAGGATAAATTCCATTTGTCAGGGCAAACAGAGATCGCAGATAGCCCTGGAGCTGAGGAATTGCCTTGATTTCTGGTAAAATTTGGCAGTCCACAGCTTTCTGATCCACTTTGCTCTGTTCTGTAATCTCATATTTCTCCTTTTCTGTGTCGAAGATCTCACCCTCCTGGTGTCTGGGCTTCCACAGCTGCTGCTTCTTGAAGTAAGCTTAGGGATTTTCACATTGCTGATATCAATTTTTGTGGTGGTGGCGATGACAAATTTCTGGTGTGTCGTTCGCAGAGGAACTCGATTAAGGGACAGAGGTCCAGTCAAAAGTAACAAGCCACTGCCCAGTTGCTTCAGGAAAACCACCCTCTTGCCTCTGTGGCGTCCAGTGAGGAGGATGAGGATGGTCCCGGGAGTGATGCTAGCTCGCAGTCTTCTCACGTGTTGGCTAAACGGTTTTTTGCCGTGGCTCAACAGCTTTCGAGGCACATCTTTGGTTGGATAGTACCTAGGCATTTTGCGAAGTTTAACCACCCGACTGCCACCATTCTTGTCACCACCAACTGGTTTCGTAACAGTGGCGAGGACCTTCTCCTTTTTCTTTTCAACCTTGGATTTAGCCACTGAGTATTTCCTCTTGTACATGGCCTTCCTAGAGTACATGGCAGATCAGGAATATCTGCCGATTCCTCTAACGAGAACAGGATTTCGGCTGCAGTGTGGCTTCCCCTTCTTAACCTTTTTAGCCTTGAGGTTAGCCTTTTTCACTTTGCCACCGGCATCAGGCTTCTTGGCATCAGCCTTCCTGGCTTCAGGTTTCTTCTTTTTAGTATCCGGCTTCTTCTCAACTTTTTCACCCGCCATCTTGTAAGATGGGAAAGAGCATTTTGTTTTTTTGTTTGTTTGTTTGTTTTTAATCTATACATAAAAAGCACTCCTGTTCATGGATTTTTAGTGATAATGTCTTGAGATTCTTCATAATCACCATTTACCTATTATTTATTAATAATAGTTAACAGATAGGAAAAAGTACAAATATCCACTGGCAGATGAATGGATAAACAAAATGTGTATATATTTTGTATATATATATATATATATAAACACACAAAATGGAATAATATTCAACTTTAAAAAGGAATAAAATTCTTTTATTTTATTTTATTTTTTATTTTGAGACAGAGTCTCGATTTGTTGTCCAGGCTAGAGTGAGTGCCATGGCTTCAGCCTAGCTCACAGCAACCTCAAACTCCTGGGCTCAAGCA